CTGGTCCCCACCTCTTTGTCCCACGCGCGCTCTTTTTCCCTGGCTCTCTCCCTGTCACGGAACTAACGTATTCACTCGAGCGCGGAGCGTGCGTTCTCACTCGCTCCGCGTGTGTCATGGGCGCACGGTGGTCGCCGCCGCTGTGCTACCGGATCTCTATGCCGATCCAACGTGGAGGAACAGCAACGTTGCTAACCACTTCGCCGGTATCCAGGTGCAGAGGGTGTTATGGCGCGAACGACGTTTTAACCACGAGGAGGTGAAGGTGCACTGACAGCCGTTGCCTCACTTCGCCTTCGTTGTTGTCCTTTGCGTTGTTTACGTGCCGGTGATCATTAACACGGTTGACGCGAGACACTCGTTACTAGTGACCAGATAGAGATAAATATATATATAGAGAGAGAGAGGGATAGAGAGAGAGAGAGAGAGAGAGAGAGAGAGGGAGAGAGAAAGTAACAGACCACTACAAGTGTGTATTAAAATAACAAGAGTGTGTGTATCGTGGTAGTAGTACACAGTGTGTTGGATATAGAATTTTGACTAGGATAGAGAAAACAGAGGAGAGAGATTGCGTGTGCGTGTGTCTGTTTTGTTTGTTGTGTGTGTGAGTGTGTGTGTTGAGAGAAGAGTACACGCGGTGTGCCCGAGCACGGGAGAGCGAGTGCGCGGCCACCCGAACTAGATGTGCGTAAATGGAAGGTATAGGGGACATAGCCGATCATCAATCGCATAGCGAGCAATTACTAGACTCGGTCGATTCTCCGGCGGCGGTTTCTACGCATGGCCGGGGAACCGGTGGGGGCGGCTCGAATGGGAACTGTGCAGGAGAAGGAGGAGGAGGTGGTAGAGGGACGGTGGTGGGTGGGGGTAGACATCACCATCATCACCACCACCATCATCACCACCATCACCACCATCAACAACAGCAACAGCATCATCCTCATCATCCTCATTCCCAACAACAACATCATCATCATCATCAACAGCAGCAACACGAAATTCTTGGGGAAGGAGGAGGAGATAGACACGTCGTGGTGGTCGGAGGAGGTGGTAACAACGGCGGTGGAGGTGGTAGCACGGAGGGTATGTCGTCTTCCGCGTCGCAAAGTCCCGACATCGCGTGCGCGAGCCTGCCGCTGGAACTACTGGCGGCTGGCGCGCTCGGCGTCAAGGAGGAGCGAGAGCTCGCCGCCGCGGAGGATCTGTCGTCGTCCCAGGAGGCAGCAGCAGCAGTGGCATCAGCAGTTACCAGTAGCGGTACAACGGGGAACCAAGGAGTTGGAGGAGGCAGTAACAACGCCGGTGGTAGCGGCAGCAACAGTGGCGGTGGTGGTAGTGGTGGTGGTAGTGGTGGTGGTGGTGGTAGTGGTGGTGGTGGAGGTGGTGGTGGTGGTAGCAGCAGTAGCAGCAGCAGCAGTAGCAGCACCGGTAGCACTAGCAGCAGCG